AGTGTTCATAGGGTTTGGATATAGTGGAACCGATGTGGATTGTTTCAGTTGACTAGATTGTAAATGGATCAGATTTACGGCGTATCTGCATTTAAATGTTACCGTGTGTGATGAGGATGAAGTAGATTTGTGGCAGCTTGTGGGGTGTTTTAACCTATTATTGAAGCTGTAAGCAACTATCGGATTAAAGATGTCGACTCTAAGAGGCTTAATACGGTCTTAAACGGTGAAACCTTGAATAAACTGAAAATAGAAATGTTAAGGATAATATGGACGGAACCCCACACCTTTAAAATAGGGTTTCAAACCAAAGCACTCACTAAACAATCTGAAATGAAGATGTGATCTTTTCAAAAGCAATCTGTTTAGCACTGCCTGACACAAAGTCATAAAACACTGCGCTTCTAGCTATTTTACACTTGCTCTTACTCCGGGGACTAATAGGACTGCAAAGTTTTTTTGATTCTGGCGTCAGTCAAAATCTCATGGTTGTGTTTTTTCATGGGATTATATTTCTTGGGATCTTTGATTGACTAATATGAAGGTCACAGATAAATATGGGATGCATATTTCTGCTTTTTTCTTACAGCAAAACTATTCATCTAAAATTGTCATAGATGTATTTGGTATTTGTTTATCACCAACCATGACCTCTTTTCATGTTTTTTCATTCAGTAATGAGGTCAATCATTTGCATGCTATTATATAAAGAGGGACATGGCTGAGACAACTCTTTTTGTTGTTTTTCTAGGTTATTGAGACTCCTGGATCAGCGTTATAGGGGTATTGCTGTTGGGGTCGGCCAGTCAGAGATACTAGGTCGTATACATGTTGCACCAATTAAGGTAACCGAAGTTAGTCTTTACATGTTGCATTCATGATGCTTTCGACCAAAAGTTGTCATATAATGCTTAATTTTTATTTACATATTTATTTAAATATTTGTGAGAATAAGATGTTATGTATTGATTATAGTATTCATTTTCCCATCACTTTTAGTCAAGGTTATCGATAGCGGATAGCGTCGCGTAGCGGTGATGCATCGTTAAGGCTATTTTGGGCTATTGCGGCAAAATAGCGGTAAAAAACGCAAAGTCAAATAGCGGTCTAATTTAGATATGTATAAATACTAAAAAAAAAAATTAAAGAAAAATCTAAGAAATCTAAAAGTACATATTGGATGATTTAAAGAGATCCTAAACATGAAATAGCCATGTAACCATTACGTAATACCGAAGATGAGTGGAGGAGTCAAAAAATCGTCGTCTTCGAGAAGAAGAGCTTAGCGGTGACAGGACTGCCCTAAGAGGAGCTCACGGTGAAGGAGGTGAGAGGAAGTATCAAGGTAGGTGCCAGAGGCTATGAGAGGTAGCGGGAGTAAGCTAAAAATCACAGGAGACGGTGGAATGCAATGGTCAAGGGTTGAGTTTAATTTTAAAAAGATAAGCCTCAAACCGCTTTTAAATAGCAGTCAAAAAGAAAATTTCGAATGCAATCTCTCACTATTTACCGTTATGACACACTATTGGCCGCTTTTGCGAACAGACATATTCCGCAATATGTCACCGCTATTGAGCGATAGCGTAGCGTGCGATAGCGTCGCGGGAAGGGACCGCTAACGCTATTAACGCCGCTATTGCGGGGCTATTTACCGCTATTTATAACGGTGCTTTTAGTTTTATTCTGTTGCAACAATCAATTGCCTCCATTCTGGTAAAGGTTTTTGTACTTCCTTTCATATTGGATATTGGATACTGGATACTGTCCATTCTAGAACTTCAGTTATGCTATCTTTTCTTATTCTGTCTCTTCTTTTTTGTATTTTGATACAAAATTGAGCTCCGTTCCTATTTGAGGCTCTCTCGGTTTTCATTCACCACGATTGTACCATATCATTTGGTCCGCTGCCACTTTTGGTCCATAAGTTCAAGACTTCAACTCACCTTTAAGTAATGTACATTGTTTAACATATTGTTTGCTTCTTTTTTACTTTTGACTGAACTTATATTTACAACTTGGCTCTTCACCACTAGTCTCTAATGTTATTTAATATCTATCTCTTTATTCTCTTCGTAACGAATCTAATAGACTAATATAATAGTTCGTTTCCTTTTCTTGGCATTCAATTCAATTCAACTTATTTATGTTCCTTTTCCCTCTGCTTCTTCACATGTTTTCTTGACTTCTAGACCTCTATCTTCCAGAGGCCTGCTCTGTATAATTAAGTACTTCACATTTTAACTATGCCTTTTCATCTACAGACAATGTATTGTGCATAGATATGGTAGGTACTTCTCTTAAGCGTCTTCAGTTAGTTTAGTGTGTGATCAATAGCAGCATGTTATTTTGTTCCTTTTCACCAAATGATATGATTTATATTGTGTGTGATCAATAGCAGCTTGTTATTTTGTTCCTTTCTCACCAATAATAATTTGGTCTAGTTCAGGTTATTACACACTATATTTACGAAACTAAGCATTGAAATTTCAGCGGTAGTTGTTTGTTTCAATTTTACTTCAATCTCTTCGCGTCCCCTTAATTTTTGGTAGATTGGCCATTTATTTTACCACTGCTCCTTCACTGTATTGGATGCTCCGAACATGGAATTTCTCTTTGGGCTTGACATGCTGCGTAAGCATCAGGTATTGATCCCAAATGTTTAGCTGTTATATTAGGTTTTTCTTTCTATTGAATCTTATTTCGCTTCCTAATTAATTTGATGTAGTGTATAATTGATCTAAAAGAAAACGTCTTAAGAGTGGGTGGGGGAGAGGTTTCTGTGCCATTTTTGCAAGGTCAGTTCCCTTGTTTTATGCTTCATTGATTGATTAAACTTTTAAGAATAATATTGTAAAGTGTTACGACTGAAATTCCTTTACTGCCAACAATATATTGTTTTTAGAGAAAGACATCCCCTCACATATCCGTGATGATGAGAGGTTAGCTCAGCAAGCTCCTTTGGGCCAAGTATCAGCTCCAGTAAGTAACACTGTAATGATATCTCTGTTACTTTTCCTCTCGTTTTATATTGAATTTCTCCATGAACTTATAGCCTCTAGATCTGCATTGAAATTTTAACATGTCTTATATCTATTTATATCCTATTAGTCTTAGTAATTGAATATTGTCAGAGGTGAAATTAGTACTTGAGTGATTAACAACTGCTTAGCTCTTATTTGACTTTTTTAAAAAAAAGGGAAAAGAAAAGAAGCATGCAAAATCTTTATTTCATATTGGAGTCTGGTTCTGTTCTGCAACACAACCTGAGAAAGTTGCCTCTTATCCCATTTTTAGTCACCTATGGTATTTCTGTAATTAGGATTTTTTGGCAGTCTTGACATAATTATGTAGAAGTTAGACGTTTTATATAACTTTTCGCCCTAAACGAAATTGCCCATCTTTTGTTTTGGCAAAATCTATTGCATTTTCTAAAGCTTCTCTTCAATCCTTTTTGCATGATCCCAATGCTACCTTTTCTCTCTATTTATTCTCTTTTTTTCCTTCTAATCTCTCACACCAAACATATCCATCAATTCTCTACCTTTCGACGCCATTTCTTCCCGCCCATCCTTCTCACCTATCCACCCTATCCATGACTTGTATTTTTGACCCCCCATGAACCTCTCACCTGACCCATAGATCTCCCTCTACTCCACCACCTCTAAAGTACCTATGAAAAATGTAGAATTTCATGAATAAAAGTAGATATTAAAAAGAAAGGTAGGCAAAGGAACGAAGCATAGGCGAAACAATATGTTTTATAGGGTTCTAGAAATCAACTTAATAAGATTTATATAATGCAGATGTAGATCGATACGAAAGATGAGCATAAAAAGAACTACTAATGATAACATTATAAATTAACAACCAATAGCTTAAATGATATAAAAACTGTAGTAGCAAACGATATGTTCAAATTATACCTGAAGCGCAAGAAGTCGTTCACGATTCACATATCCAAATTGAATGATGACCTTCTTAATGGAAGTTTTATAGGTTTGGTCCTGTAAAAGATTTTAATATGAGATCAGTGCAATATATGAGTAATATATTTTACAACTTTGATTAATCGCGAAATAAAAATAACAGAAGTGAGTTGAACTGGAGGTCTTAATATGAAATGTGGTTTTGATGGTGGTCCACTTGGGTGGAAAGGGTTGTGATCAGTTTGATGAGATGAAGATCTACAAGGGCAAGGGGGAAGTTTGAGGATGTTGGAGTTCATTAGTGGCTGGTTGGAGGTGGTGAATGACAAGGAGGATGAAGTATGGGCGATAGGGACGATTAGGAACTTGTGTGTGCTGTTGTTGGATGTGTTGGTCATGGTTGAAGGAGATTGGAGGCAGTGGAGTGGATGCATGAACTTGGAGCAGAAGGAGAGAGCGTCAGGAGGAGCTTCATTTGTGCTAGAGATGAACAGGTAGAGTGGGAGGGGCACTTATATTCTCTGTTTCATGAGAGAGAAGCAGAGAGATGTTAGATATGACATCATTGAGATGGCAGGAGGATTGCATTTGAGATGTAATCGAGGTAATGTTTTATTTGAGATTTGATTTGGGATGAATAAGATTAAAGGTTGAAAATTAATCAAAGCAAAAATATGGTTTAAAACTAAATGTGGATTCATTCTAAAAATTCTATAACGCTAGTTTTATTCATTCAGAATATTTGAATTACATGAAGTCCACCCTCTTCAACAGTGTTGGAATTTAAAATAAATAATTAATTCAATCTTATCTAGCACAAATTCACTTCTGTCCCCTAACACAACCTCAACCTTGAAACAAAATTCAACATCTTCAATTCTGTCTCTAACTAGCTAAATAACTAATCAAAATCTAACAATCTTATAATTCATCCAAATTCATCTAGAACGATGCCATGATTTCATATGGGCAACACCAGGTCCTACTTTTTAGTAACATTTTAGTAAGTTTCGAAAATTCTTATTAACTATCTTAATTTGATCATTAGTTTGAGGTTGTATGCAGTGAAATACTCTAATCTTATATTTGGTTCTTTCGTAATGAGGCTAATCTTATATTTGGTTCTTTCATAATGAGGGCCACAAGTGACTAATGAATCAATCATCCTTATCCGATATTATTGTTTTAGATAAGCTATGTAACCTAGCGATCCCTTTTACGAGAAGGTAACCAATATGGCATGGATAGAAGTTTTACTATACTAAATAACATGCCATCTTGAAAAACTTATCCACCACCACAAATCAAGCTTTGGAAAAATTTGCTTCAGAATTTTTTGAAGAATCATTACTTTGAAACTGAAAAAGAAGCTATTTATTCCTTGAAATATACACCTTACTATTTAAAGAATAACTAAAGTTTGCGCTTCCTGTTTCATGAAATGCTTCAAACAATTTATGTATGGACTCTGTCTTAGGATTACCCTGTGCTAGTAGAAAACACGATTTTGTGAATGTAGACCGCAAGATGACACACTTTTTCCTTAAAACATCTTATGTGTTTCATATTGCTTATATGTGCTTCATATTGCTTATATTCTCATCCCAAAGGTTGTTAAGTTGCACATGTTACCTAAAACAATAATTTCTGATAGAGACATGAGATTTGTAGTCAATTTGGCGCACATTATAGAAGAACCTAAGTACAGAACGATAATTTTCTGCTACATACCTCCCTTAGACCAATGGTCAAACCGAGATAGTTAATAAGAGTTCAAGAAATTTCTTTAAATACCATGTAGGAGTCTTTACTAAAACTCGATTAGCAAGAGTTTAGGAAATTGCTTTAAATACCATGTAAGAGTCCTTACTAAAACTCAGGACTTCGTCACATCCATGGTAGAGTTTGCATATAATAATTCTGAAAGTAGATATATCGGATTAAGTCCATTTGAAGTTGTTATGGGCTCTCATATTAAAAAACCAATAATTTTTTAATTCCTATAGCTTTAGGTCCTAAATAGAGTGCTTTAACAGACTCATTTGGACATCATATGCATGATAAACATTCTGAAATATGAGAGAATATAATCATGAGTAATGAAATTTATAAATTTGCAATAGATAGGCATAAACTTATGCAGGTTTTTATAGTTATTGGTTAGGTACTTGTCCGAGTGCAATTAGAGAGATTTCATTTTGGGACTATGAAGAAACTTCATGCATGACAGAGCCATATTAAGTTGTTAGATGCCTTAGAGTGGTGATACGTGCATTAGTCTGCTTGTCGTCGTTACCTACTATGACACCAAACATGACACTGATGTGATTGAGAAGATTCATGATGATGAGATTGTGTGGATTGATGACATAGATTTTTAGCGTCAACTTGTTCATTGGCATGGACGTCCACCGTCTGAAAGCTCTTTGTTATGTGGAGATATTCAGAAGCTTGACCCTTATTTGCTTGACGACTATTATCGCTATCACTCACTAAAGGGGGAATCACTCCAAGTTGGGAGTAGCCAGTATGGATATGAATGTTTGTGTTTAATCTTTAGGTTCATGGCGTCATTCTAATTTTAATTTGAAATACTTGAATTTTGAATCTAGTTGGATAAATTATTTGTAGTAAGATTAGATATTTGTTTGACGTTTAACTTCTACCTTAGACTTTTAAAAGCTTTAGTAGGAGATTTTAAATCCTACGTATAGGGGTCATAAATTTCTTTTTCATTGTATTAAAAAATGTTGGATGAATAAAATAGAAGTTAAGAGAAATACTGAAGTTATTCCTGTGATGGGTGATGTAAGTGATTCTCTTTATCCTATTTGTTTCAAGTGCAATTCGTTTAGATAAAATCTTAGTTATTCAATTGTCTATATAAATAAACCCTAAAATCTCAATCACTTGCCAAACTCATCTCGTATCCATATCCTCCACTCTCATTGCGAATACCTAAAGCTCTACTTTTTGGCTCATTTTTCTCTCGAACAGATCACAAGAATCTAAATCCCACATCCTCGTCTTTCAATTGCAACAATCCTTCTACTTCACTGCTCAATTCCTCCACCTCTCACCTCCTGCATTCCTTCCATCTCTGTGACTCAAATTGATGTAGGACACATAATGAACAAATTCATGCAACAGTTAAACTGTCACAAGTCAAATGTGGATACTGATACATTGTTGGCTTGAACGCGAAGAAAAGACAACATCTCCCAATTTGTAAAACATATTTGGACATGTAATATATAAAAATTGCCTACTTCAGCTAGACGGAGCCAACCATATTGGTAGATTCTTGAAATTCCATCAGCAATACCTGTATCTTGAAAATCCCGATGATTGTAGAGGCCACTGTTTTAAAAAACCTCCACCTAGTCCGCTTAGGCGTACGCCTAGGCCTAAGCGGTACCTAGGCCGCCTAACTAACGCCTAGGCCTAAGCGGTACCTAGGCCGCCTAACTAACGCCTAGCGTCTAGGCGGTATTTAGGCTGCCCACCTAGATTTTACGAGCGTTTAGGGGAGCATTGTTTGTTTACGTGGATTGCACCCTGTAGGTATTGATTGTGATTTTATGTGTCGTAGCCTACACGTCCTCCAAACTCCATTAATCTCCAAATATGAACACCTTAACTACCTCCTCCGACCTTCAGCAAAACCTCATCGACCACCACTTAAATGAAGAAAGAAAAAAAACACCCAGAAACCGTTTAGGCGTCCGCCTAGGCGACTAAACGCTGAGCGCCAAGTCCGACGCCTAGAAGCGCCCAACGTTTAATGTAACATTGGTAGAGGCTCTAGAACATGGAAGAACTATGATGCTAGGGGATTTAGGATATCATCCTTCAAAGGAAAACTTCATGCATAGGATTTTCTTAATTAGATTGCTAAGGAGGAGAGATATTCGAGTATAAGCTGATCCTTGAAGATTCAAAAGTTTTTGGTGGTTTACTAACTTCAGGAGGGAACATTTGCATGGTTGGAAGAAGTATTGATGAATCGATAACATCAACGGAAAAATCCGGTTAGGACATGGGCAAAAATGAAGAAATTGTTAGGAGATCATTTCGTGCGTTCTGGTTACAAACAAGATCTTGTATCTTTGCAAAAGTCTTTTACCTTATTCTTAGATTGTAAATTTCATTGGTTGCTCTTCACTCTTCCTCATAAGCACCCTTTCCTTTATTTTTGATATAATTTAGGATTGGTTTTTAGTAGTTTGTGGGCCTGTACAAAGTGCTAAAAGGTAATTTGATTGCCAATCATCACAACTAAAGAACCCTTTTTCCTAAGTAAACTGTGGCACTGCTCTAACAGGCACATATTCTGTGCTACCTATTTTTCAAGTACGCCCATGGGAGGACCCGGAGGAGATGTAGTCGATCTCATATTTTTATACTCTAATAGTTGATGAATAGTTGAATACTTATAGGATATTCAATTGTTATTCCATTTTAGAGAAGATCTTACGAGCAATAATTTTTGGAAAGTTTTAGTTTATGTTGAACTAAGTCACTAATGCAATGAGGAATTAAAAAACTTTGGAATCCATCAAGAAGCGCACTACGAACCCATGAAGAAACTTCGAATTCACGAAGAAATAATACAAGTAGAATTTCATTGATAAAAATTAATTGTTCTCATGGGGTTTACATTTATCTTTTTAAATACTAAATAGAAAAACCAATTACTCCTAATAGGACATGATTTGCTAAAAAAATAGAAAGTATAAAATACTACCTTATAAAGACTCCCCATGATTGAGGATATTAATCGATCAAATTTAATATCAAACTGGATTTGTTTCTTAATTCAACAAGACACTAATTTAATATTAAAAATAATCTAATCTAAAAGTTGATGAATTTTTGAATTCTTCAAAATATGGGTATTGCCGATGGGATTTCAGGATTCTTCCGATTTAATGAGCTCCATCTTGTTGAGATAGGCAATCATAGATTATATATATAATTCTACCTTCCAGATTGGGGAATAGTTTTTTTTCGTGGTTAAGTCAACAATGCATCGGTATCCACATTTGACTCATGACGGTCCAACTACGTTGTGTCCTACATCAGTCATGCAACATTAAATTCGTTTTATATGCAATTATCTGGTTGTA